TCCGAAAAATTGCAAGATCGAATCCCTCTCTATCGCTGTGATAAAAATACTTGGAAAATAAAAAAAGTTAAAATAAAATAAAATTTATAATATATGGAATCCATATACATACAAATATGCAAATGAATGATTTAAATATCCATTAAGTATTATATATTATTATATATATTGGTTAGGGCCCATTTTCAGGTGGGATTTTTCAAAGTTTGAACTACATATGAAAATTTTCGGAGGGAGAAGGTGTGTATGAAAAAAAAAAATTTCCAAAACGGAATCCTTTGAAGATTTTCGGAAAAATATAAAATAAAAATAAAATTTATATGAAAAAAATGCAGAAGCCAAAAAAAAATTTCAGTAAGTAATATAAAATAAATACTCAAATTTAAAATGGAGTAAAAATAAATATGTGTTGTAAAATTTATCTATATGGAAAAAAATACATATATAAAAATAAAAGAACGCCTGCGAAAGGTTCAAATTAAAATAAAAATAAAAAATGTGTACTTTCCCTTGTATAATTCTCCTTAAAAAAAGAAAAATAAAAATGTCATAGAAAAATTTAACATGCAAATGAAGGGGAAACAGGGATTCAACAAGTGGGTATGATAACATGATTGATGATGACTAATGACTATGACTACTTAAGTGAGAGTAAGTTGTTATAGCAGAACAACCACTGGTCTTTCAAAAACAGAGATTCTAAGAGATAAAATCTCCCTCGAAAGTAAAATAAGAAATGATAAAAACACCATAACCTATACACCATCCATATAAAGCTTTGATTAATGATAGAGAACCTTAAAGTAAATAATACGATATCATCTTATAATTTAAAAAATTAAATAAATATAAATTTAAAAAATAAATAAATGAGAAAAATAACATATACAAAAATTAATTATTATAGTACATATAGATATCAATGCGATGTCCTCTCCCGATCAATTTTATAAGTACAGTACATAAAAATTCTTTCTAAGAATTAAGAGAAAAAAAAGAAATAAATAGAAAAGCACGAATAAAATCAAAGATCCAAAAAAAAAGAAAAAAAAAAAAAAGAAGAAGAAGAAAGAAAACTTCTCTTACAACATCCAATAAATAATTATAAGGAATATGAAAAAGGAGGAAAGATGATGAATACCAACGTTTGCTTACCATTGAAAAGTGCGTGGTCATCAAAAAGAGAACGCAGAAGCGAAAAGAATGTAGGTGTTTTGAGGGGAGGAGAGGGAGAAAGAGAGAGAGAGAGAGGAAAGGATGGAGAAAGAGAGAAAAAAAATACATAACGAAGAAAAGAAAAGTTCTCTTTATCTCTCTCTCTCTCTCTCTCTCTCTCTCTCTCTCTCTCTCTCTCTCTCTCTCTCTCTCTCTCTCTCTTCTCTCTCGTCCTTGCGTGGTCGTATTCCTATGGACTCTCTCTCTACTATCTACAGTTAGTTGTGTTGCACTCGCTCTCTTACAGCTTCTCCCTCTTTCTTTCTCTTTCTCTCTCTTTTTATCACGTAGAGAGAAGCTGAACGAAACGTGCTCTCTCTCTTTCTCTTTCTCTCCCTCTCTCTCTCTCTCTTTTTCTTTCTTTCTTTCTTTCTCTCCTCGCTCGAACTATAACGGAACCGTCGGCGTCTCGGGGCCGCAGCGTTTCTTCCGTACGTACGTAAGTACGTAGATACATACGTACACACGTATATAACTTTCGTATCACGAACTGGGCGGATATAACATATTTACATAGAGTTCAGGAATCTCAACGAATGAAATTCAATTATCTAAAACTTTTACAATAGATCGATCGATCAATCCTATAAAGAGAGTAAAAAGAGAAATGAATCGTTATCAAAATATTGTAATTCTAATTCTAATAGTTTACAAAAAAAAAAGATAAGTAAATAAATAAACAAATAAATAAATAAATAAATAAAAATTTACCAATTCGATGATTACGACTACTAAATAAAACGATAATAATAAATAACAATTTAAAAAAAAAATAAAAAAAAAAAAAAAAAGAAGAAAAAAGAAACAAAGCCCCAAAAATCTAGGGCTCATATAATCTCGAACTAGTTGTAACTAGACGCAAATAGATACACGTATAATCTCTCATGTCGAATGTAAATCGAATAGCAAAGTTATACGCGTGCAGCATACATATCGACGACTAATCGATGTCTATCGAAGAATGAAAGATAGATAGATAGCTAACTAGTTACAGAGTGAAAGAGGGAGAGAGAGAGAGAAAGGTAGAAAGAGAGAGAGAAAGAGGGGAGATAGAATAAACAGTAAATAGAAAGGAAGGAATGGTTAACTCTCTCGATACTTGCGTTACGTTAACGTGTATCGTTATAATCCTTATCGTACATAAGCATATACATATGTATATATATATATATATGTATATATTTTTACGCTCGTTTAACTTTGCATCAGTACAGTCATGGATGCATTAACTCGTCTCTTCTTCTTCCTTCTCTCTCTATCGTCTCATTCGTTGGACAGGTTGATA